TTTCACCCTTTAGGCTGCTTATTCTTTTTCAATATGCAGTCCTGATAGCCCTTTATGCTGACAGTTCTTGTATATACAAAGGAGAAAGCTATTTGGAGGGCAATGGTTAGGTTCATCCTAATGGATGGTTGTCAAAATTACTTTTCCCTGAGTTTTTGGCCTGTAATTCTCAGTGAACTCAGTGATCCTACAGGTCAGTTTCTATTCAGATGAAAACCTCAGTGTCTAAACATGGGCATTTGAAAGCAGAAATGTATAAATATTTTTGAAATATTTTAGTCTCTAAACCAGCATTTGCTTTCAGAAGTGTCACCTTTCATATGCAGATCTGTTCTCTCCTTGCAAAGTGAAAATAACCAATCTTAAATAACTGCAGATACTACATTGTAGAACTTAAGTAACTGTAATCAGCAGACAAAATAACTTGCAGTTACTCACTTTGATTCTGTTCCTTTGCTCTACAACACAAGGTGATTACTGCAGTTCCTGACCATCTTAAAGAGAGGATTCTGAGCCTGTGCAGCTCTCCTGCTCCTTTCAGGGGAACACTGAGGCTGTCAGAGCTTTCCAAGCCTGGCTGAGGCTGGCAGCTGTGTCAGGATGTGCAGTTCAGTAGCTCAGTCCTCCATGGTCCATTACATCCTCACTGTTTGCCAGGACTTTTCCCTGCTTTGACTGAAGAACTCAAATGGGATGGAATCACAGAGACTAGGAGGGATGGCTGGTGCTTAGCTGACTTTGAAAATCTGGTCTGTTATTGACTGGGGCAGCATTAAGAAAATTAAGCATTTGTCACTGAAATTTTAAAAAAGAATTTTAAAAATACCTGGCAAATCTCCTTCTCCCTAAGGCAGGCAACCCTTTTCTGCCACTGGTCATCCCCAAATCTGCTAATAGGTAACTGATATAGAGGATCAAAAGTGAGGGCACTCTGTTTGTGTGTATGAGAAATACTATAACAGACAAAGACCTTGAAAAACATTTACTGTAAATGTTCTGGACCAGCCAAATGGTTTTGCTGTCCTTTCTGTAAGCCACACATACACACTGTCCTCCAGAGATGCTGCCCTATTTTCTCTCTTCAGCCTTCAGATGGATGGAACTTGGGGAGATTGAGAGTATCTTTGCTATTGGCACAGAAATAAATGTCAGGCTACAAATTCTTCCATTCTATTTAAGAAAAACTATTTTTCACCACAATGGTGGAAAAGCTTATGCAATTCCTCTTGTATGACTGAGATGTACTCTGTAACATAAAAATGTTAATGCTTCCTGCTGCTTTTGAAATCTGTGCCTCATTTTGACTGTGGGTTTCAGTCTTTTGAACAAATGCTTCATTTTTTTTTTCCAACTCACTCAATCACCCAGATTTCTTTAGTTGTATTATTCCACCTGGAATGGAAAGAAAAGGAAATGTTGACTGAAAACTGCTGTCTGCTAGAGGTGAATTATCAGATCAACATTTCTTGAGACAAATATTGGAAAGAGCTTCATAAAGATTTTTACAATTTGTAGCTCATTGGCAAGTTTAATCAATAATGGTGTGAAGGCTTTCAGCTGGGCCTGTCTGCAAAGATCATGGTAGCTGAACAAGCTGTCCCTGGAGTGTGCAGGGCTGCATGGCAATGTTGAAGAGGCTGGCTGTGTGTTAAAGCACACTCTGGTATGGTTAAAATAGTGCATGTGTTGAACACAGATATGGAAAGGCGTTTTTTTTTTCTTGCTTTCTCCCTCCATGTGCACACATTTTGAAAAGAAATGTCCACTTCTCTTTGGACAGAGAGTGCTCTGTGCTGCTGGCAGTGCCATCAGGAGCACTGATCAGCCTCACACTTACCAATCCAGCCAGCTGATCAATCTGCTTTATCAACTGCCTTCAGCTTGGAGCTCTCTCAAGGGCGGGGACTCCTTTGTCTTTCAGGAGTTCAGCCTGTCATCCCAACAGATCATCTCTCTGTTTGCAGCAGAAGACAGTAGGAGATCTGTCTTGTTTTTTGTATCTCAAAGCAGTATTTTGCTTGCTTTCTCCCAGTTTCCCTTTAAACAGCATCATCCAGCAGAAAGTGGAAAACCTGCTGCTGACAGTGAAGTCAAAGGCATGTGATGAGTGCAACAGCAGTTGGAAGCATCCCTCACTGGGACTTTCTTTTTGTTAACACCCAGTGCAGTTATGTGTAAAGATGAGGGGGAGTTCTAATTATGCATTTTCTGAACATAACATCTCATAAGATCATTGACAGCTAATCAGAAATTTCCAAACTTGTTCAGCATTCAAAGACACTTTGTAACCAAATATAAACTTCAAATTTACACCTTTATATCAAACCTTATGTAGATTCTGTTTTCAGTGACCTTTAATGAAAAACACACCAGCACTTCAGAGGATTTGAAATGCTGACTAGTTCCTTCTTGCTCTAATTCCTTTAGAGTAAGCACAAGGGCTTTTAGAGAAGGTTCAACAATTTAATTCACTGATTAGACCTATATACATAGATATGTTCCTAGCATTTGATATGCCTTAGTTCAAAGTAGTAAAGTTCTAATTTAGAATTAGGGTAAAGAAATACAATTACTTCCACATGTTTTGTTTGGGGCTAAATATTAGGTAATAAATTTCCCAGTGCCTTTGCTACTTTTACAATGTGCCTGGTGAAATTTAATGTCCAGGAGCAGAGATGATGACAAGCTGACATTTCTGAATACAGCCCTTCCAAATAGTTTGATACCAGGTCAAGTAATGAAATTATTTTGGAGGATTATGAAGATTTGAATTTCCTTCTCCTTTGATGTCACTTAGAAAGGGGCTAACAATTCCAGCATATCAAAATGTTTTTGAATAATGTTTCTGAAGGCTTTTAGAGTCTTAATTTGAGTGAAATTTGGTTCTACTTTTCAAAGGCTGTGAGACTATTCAAACACATAGGGCTTTTTTACTAAAAAGTTTTCTTTACTAAATAGTTATTTTTATCAAGACTTTTAACCATTAAAATGCATTAGTCACATGTCTTGTTCAGTAATCAACACTGAAATATTACCTGCTCAGGGTTGAGGTGATAAAAAGGTGCAATGCACATATTCAGTAGTACATTAGTTGCTGTCATGGTTCCAGTTTGCAGGCAGAGTTCAGACAAGTAAAAGTTCTGTTGGAGGAAAAAAACTCTACCTGTCTATCCTTTCTTCTTGCTTCTTTATTAAGCCCCCAAATGTGGAGAGCCAGCTGGACAATTTCCCTGCCTATTTCTGGGCCTAGGTGTTAATTTAAAATAATTGTATTGAATTTAAGTTGTCATAATTAATGTCTGAATTCACAAGAGCCTCCTGGAAACTTAGCTTACCTTGTTCCCTGCATGATGCTTCAGTGTCTCACCCCATAACAAACCCTGTGCTCAGTTGGAGGCAGTTTCTGCAGTGAAACCACTGGACATAATTTAGTTTTCTGGTAGTATTAAAGTAATGAGTCAAAGATGAGCATAAATGTTGAAGAAAAGGTACTGTGAGTTTCCCAGCTGAGAAATAAATGGTACTGATGAATATGCTCTATATTTGCAAGGCTTTTATTGTGTTGAAGAATGCAGTTTCTAAGCTGTTTTTGTTTTAGCTTGACTGTTCTTGTTAACTGAGAGATTTCAAAATGAAACAATTTTTCACCCCTAACTGGAAAACACTGATGTTTTTGAGAAAAAGTCATTACAATTCCTTTAGGTGAACTCTTTCCTATGACCTTGTATGAGGCTACTTCAGTGTTTTGCTGCAGAGAAGACAGCTCATGTTACAGCCCCAGATGGGCTGATGGGTCAGTGCAGAATAATAAAGATGTAATTGCATTCATCCATGTATTCAGCATAATAATTAAAAACCCTAAAAATTTGGATTTTTTAAAATTAATAACATTTGGAAATATTTTGCTTAAATGTTTAGAGTTACTTCTACAGATACATTCCTTGTTGCACTAATATAGAAACTTCTTGTAATGGAGTATTTCTAGCATTGATATAAAGAAGAAAAAGAGATAAATATCTGAGAACAAAGCTATAAGACTGTATTGAGACACCCCAGAAACAAGTATATGAGCTATTATATCCTTATACAATGTAAGTATATTGCAGCAATTAATGTTCTATTTGTTTAATGTATATAAACAACTTCAAAAGAAAATTGCAAATGTTACACAGACTAATTTCAGAAGGTAAGAAATAATCATTATTAATTAAGTCTTATGTTAGGGATTTGTATGCTTAATGACAGTTCTAGAACTATCAGGATACAGTCCTAATTATATTCTATATTTTTCAGGGTAAGATGTGATTTATTTATCTTAAAATTATTAAATTTAAAATTCTTTAACATTCAAAATTGATCAGATTGGCCAAATAATTCCCTTCATGTTTATTATTTTGTAACTGGCATAATATTCACCAGTTAGTCTGTGGTGTGTTGGAAGTACTAATGCTACTACTGAGAGTGAACTATGATCTGGATAATTTTTTAATATTATGCTGAAAAATTCAGAGTGTTGCCATCAAGCATCAGTTTGATCTCTGTCTCATTAACAGACCTTACTTAAGATGTCATTCATTCAGAGTTCATGGGAGAAATAATTAAATATCTTTTGTGTAGTGGTAGTTGAAAAAACCCATGGTAAAAAGCACAAGTGAACTGAGTGGGAAAATCAGTAAGAATTTACAGTGTACCTGGGAGATGAAGGCTTGTCCTGAATGTGTGCCTGAAGCTCTGGCTTTGCTCATCTTTGAGACAGTGACAACAGCCAGAGGAGAATGAGAGAAGTCAGCAGTAGTAATGAAAGGATTATATCTCCAGGAGAAATGGGGAATCTTTCCAATGTTAACAGACAATTTTACTGCAAAGAAATGCTTGGGTTGAGCAGTTTCTCATGTTAAAGGACCCAACTAATTCCAATACTGGCTTGAACTTTACTTAAAAATCAAGAGGTCAACTCCTGTGGCCATGGTTAAGGGAGACTTGGTTGTGGAGCTGAAGTCTGAGCCTCTGTCAGATCTCTAAGTGTGTCTTAACTATGTTGCCTGGTTTACAGCCAACTACAGTTTTGCTGCTCAGCCTCTGCCAGGCTATGTCCTAATTTCAAAACAGTATCTTCACTATGTTTCAATCCCCAAGGGCACTAGCTACACCAGATTTAATTAAAACTGGGAATGCTAATCAGCAGGTCCTGCGGTAACTGAGAGATTTCTCACTGTCCCAAAGTTAAGTGGCTTCTGCTTCCTACCATTGTGGGAAGCACTGAAACAATGCTGCTGGGCGACAGATCCCAGAGCCTGCAGCGCCAGCATTCCTTACCTGGAACTTGGGAACAGCAGCAGGTTCATTCAGGGATAGTCTGACTTCAGATACAGTGGAGAGGTTGCATAATTGAATCCTGTAACAAATCCCCTTTCTACATTTGCAAATCATAAAACACCACCAAGACTTTTACTAATGAATATGTGTAAGGAAATAAAAAGAACCTTGAATAACTTAATGCTCTTCTCTGCACTGAACTGGATGACAGTTATACATTACTGCAGATTTCTGTTCAAGGCTCAGAGACCTTGATTAGCCAGATTGCCCTAACCAGGGCAGGCACCTCTCTGGCCCCTGTGATCTGTGCAACTGGATTTTCTCCCCAGGGTGTGCAGTACAGGAGCACAGGTGGAAGCAGAAGCACACTCGGAAGTAGGAAATGTTCTGAAGTTCAGCAGTTGCAGCTAATCATTAAAGTCAACAAGGTGAACAATTATTTACTTTGCTGCTTTTATGAAAAGGGGGCGGGGGGGAGTAAGGAAGAGGGAATCAAGTAGAAATAGTAAGCAATAAATGTACATGGTTGAATTTTCACTGCTGTAGTGTTGTGTAAGAGTACAGAAATTTCATGGGTTTTATTTTACTTCTACAGGAAGTTTCGTGTTTGTATTTAATTTCTGGGAACCCAAGGGCAAAGCAAAGCAATTAACATGTTGAAGACTTAAAAATAAACTTCAGAAGCTTCAAGTAAAATACCTTTAGCTGATTAGTGTTACAATGCATCTTTAATGAGAAATAGATGAGGATTGCATTGTTTCTTAGGATAAGGAGAGTTGTTAGATATCTGCATTGATAATAGAGGGCTTAGAAATAATATGTGAGCTGCTTTTCTAGAAGAAAAATAGGAAAATTCTACATGGCCTAGTGTACAGATAAGAAAAAACAGTGAAACAAATACATTTGTTCAAGTTCTTTTCGTAAAAAGCTTATTGCAAAGTGAATTTTAACATAGTTCTGTTGCTCTTTGGATTGTTTAGACTCACCCCTTGATATGTATCTATGTTTCTCTATTTTTGTCCAACTATTACTTTTTCTTCAACTCTGATTTTACTACAAACTAATTCATATAAAAAGTGCAGGTCGTAAAATGTAGAATTAATTTTGAATAACCCACATATAAAATATTACCTCCTCTTGTATCCACTGCAAACAAAATTCTATGGAAAACAAAGCTCAGACATAGACTTTACAAAATATTTCTTTACAGTTATCTTGTCATAGCTGTGTACCGAATAAAGAGAATATGAAAAGTCCTTTGATTGGGAAGATTGGCAGCATCTATGTTTTTAAATAAAATGATTTTTAAATATGCATGAATTTATTGTCTTGGTTAAGTTGCTGCACAGTAAAAGGAATGCTATTCTCAGAACAATAATTGATCTGTCTCAGCTGCCAAATTGGGTCACAGTGAACAGACAGAATGCTCTGGTATTTCCCTTACATTTCTCTCTTTTACCTTGCTTTCTTGGAAAAATGATTGAAACTGTAATCCTTACTGCATTGAGGTGGTGTACTGATAACCAGTGTTTTTCATGAATGATAGATCCTCTTCTTTCATCCTGGTTTTGATAGTGTTGTATTGTAGAACACCTAAAGAACAATGCAGAAATCTGCAGTCTCAACAAAATATGCTGAAATGCACTGAATGAGTACAGCAATCCCAGTTATTGCTGAAGTTTACTTTTGGTAATAAACACTTCACTTTCTGTATGGGACTGTGGTGAAATGAAATAAGTTTGAATTATTAATATTACACCATTTTACAGTCATCATACATCTGAATATGCCAAATAACTTTCTAAATATCCCCAAGAAGGACTGAGGGTGGCGGTGACAATACTGTTCTATAAAGCTCATGTGCTACATCACTTCTCTCCAGTTTTATCTCCAATTGCTCCAACAATTAAATAGGGAGGAGCTCTGTAAAAGGTTGTAGCAGTTACCTGGTGAGCCAGAGCAGGAACGCTGTGAATCAGGCAGGCCTTTTTACTGGAATTTGTGCACACTGAAAAAGGAGCCATGGGATCTCTGAAGGATCCTCTGCCTGGTGTGGATACAGTGACCACCAGGGCAGCTGGGGAACCTTCCTCTATGGGACATATAAATGTATATTAACAATATTATACACAGTTGGTATTTATGTTTTTGATAACAGTGAAAATGTATTGATGTTGAATTGCTGTGAGTATCCAGCACAGGCAGAGGAGTAAACAGTCTGCAGGAGTGTCCCCTCATCCTCGAGTGTCAGGAGAGGATGGTGCCAGCCTCAGTCAAGGAGGGGAGCCAGTAGCTCTTGATGGGTTGTTTCCCACTTCTGTTACATTTCTCACCCAGGTCTTCATCTTCTGATTTCACGGGGGCAACAGCGCAGGCCCTGACCTCTTCTGCCCCAGGCTAATTGTGCTGAGTTACTTTAGGAATTCTGGCAAATGAATCCCACAGATCAGCACAGTAGGGGCCTCTTCATTCCCTCTGGCTTCTGCATCATTTGCAGGACAGGATGAATGCCCTGCTGCAGTTACCTATCTCCAGCTACAGTCTCTGGTTGGCCAGAGTGGGAAAGGAGCTTCTACAAAGCTGAAGCAAAGTAAGGTGACCTTACCTTCTCATTGGCTAAAACAGAGCAAGAAAGACTTAGAATTAATAAAAGGGTGAGACTTATTTCAGCTCAGGCTTTGTAAAAAAGTGACAGAAGATTCATTGTCTTTGTGCTGTGTTCTTTGAGCAGCCTCAGCTTCAGTACTTGCAGGGTAAGAACCACATTCTGCTGCAGTAATTTTATCTTTGTCTCACATGTATCCAAATACAGTCACTGGTGTCCTACCTGGAGTGCTGGTGACACGATTCAGGAAATCCCTGGATAGGCAGGTTGCCCTGCTGTAGATCTTGGTTTGTTAGAGCTGTATGAGCTACCTTTCTGTATTGCTGTGTCTTTTTTATATGGAAGGTGAGAAAGATTTGAATACAGATAATGCCATTGCCAGTTAATTTAAAAGGCCAAATTGTGGTTTTTAACAATGCCAGACCTTTCTAAGCAGTGTTTCAGAAAGATAAGGATATATTTAGAAGATGGATGTTTCAATTTCTGGCTGCCCAAAAGTGACATAACAACATTATAAATTTAAATAGGATGACATTTTAATGGGTTTCCTAGAGGAAAAAAAATGGTGTTTATTAGTAGAAATATACTAAACTATCTGCATTTGACAAAGTGCTAATGCAGAAAATTACTTCTAGAGAAACAAATGAAAATGTCAATTAAAAAAAAGTAATGGCTCCCTAAGTTGTGGGTTGTGGTTTTGCTTTTGGAGTTTCTTATTTTTAAATTTTTTTTCCTGAAGTGCTGGGTGTGTTTTCTGTATTAATTGAAAAGCTTCTGATTTGTCTGTGTTGCCTTAGTTCTGTGAGTGTTGGGGGTTTTCTGGGGATGCCCCTTCTGTATCTGCTGCTGCACAGTTGTATTTCATTTAGGCTGGAAGCTAATTTAATAGGCTGGGTTAATGCTTTTTCTCTATTATATGTTTTGTTTTTGCACTTTATTTAGGGATTGTTTTCCACTGAGGTGTCCACAAGCACAGCGCCTGCAGCCTAAACCACCTGGCTTTGCATTTCCATATGTGCCAGGGATGTGTCAGCAGAGACATTCCTGGTGAATGCAGAATATTAATGAAGTGGAAATTCCCTCTTTACAATTTTCTGATGCAAATCATCTCTTCTCCCTGGTAACTGGGAATCCTGAGATGCCAGGTAATGTCAGGGTTTGCTTGGCAGGCACACTGGGAACTGCTGGGTGTGTGAAGGCTGCCCTTGCTCTAAAGGAGATTGCTGTGTTCAGCTGGAGCCTGCACAGCAAGGCTCAGGGAGGCCGTGAAGAGAAGCAGCTTTTCCCCAGCATTAAGCAGTGACACGATGAGTGTGAGCCTGCAGTGACACACACACTTGTGCCATGACACACATGGGGAGCAGTGAAATGTTTAGGTTTTACTGCTGCTGCTCCATTTGCTTGCGTTAGGTGTCTTCAATTATTTGTCTCACAGCAGAATAAAACCAGCTGAGCATAATGTCTGGGAAAACCAGACACTAGGAACCAAGTTGCTGTGCTGAGGTAAGAAAGGAATCATCAAGCAGTGACCATGGCATAGGCTGTCTGCAAATAGGGATGGCAGGGGAGACTTTACTTCTGCCAGTGTAAAATGTGATTTTTAATTAGACATGAGGTGTTAATTTCTGTCTCTAATCTCCAGGAGCTGAATAATGTAGCTCTACAAAAAATATTACCTCTATTAAAACCTGCAAGATGAGATGCTGGACCCAAATGCACTAAAGGCAACCAGGAGGCAAACAGAGAGTACTCATGTCTTAATGACTTTTTGGAAAGGTTCAGAAATAGTGTGTTCTTTAATTTGTTGCTTACACTGAAGCTGGCAAACCAGAATTTCTCTCAAAACTTTGTTTTCAGTCATTTGCCTCATGTTCATAGGTCTCCCCCTCAGACTGTACTCAATTATAATAGTATTTGGTTACCTTCACAGGTTCCTCTGCTGTTCTAATGTGAATTTTTCTCATTTAATAAGTCATTGACGTTTATCTCATCCTTTTAGCAGCCTAAGAGAAACATAAATCAACTGTGGTCACTTGATGTTTTTTAATCTCTGTCCAGCCTCTTGAGCCCATGGCAACAGGAGGAATCCCTCGCTCTCGTTTCATCAGCACTTTGAACTGTCAGTGACATCTTGCTTTAAAGGCTGTCATATGCTGACACTGACAGAGAGTTACAATTACCAACCCTGCTGGAGGTACAAAAAAAAAAAATGTTCTCAACATCAAAAGATGTTGTTTTAAATTATAATTAGGGTTTCCATGGGTGAATTGTTTCATAATTTACCATATTTTATTTTTCTTGACAAAAACAAGATGAGGCAGTGACAGCAAGGACCTCTGCCATTTCAAATTAGTTCAAGCATCAGTATTAATTCTTAACTATCTAATTACACTAAGGAAAGTGAGGAAACACAATTTGTCCTTCATGCTGATAAGAAACCACATTCCCAGCTTATTTTTGTAACTTTTTACTACATACAGGAATGTCCAGCCACAAACTATGGTTAAATATCCTTCCCATTATTGTATTATATGGCTATAAAATGTTCTCTCCTTTTCCACATTCTACTGAAAATGAGACTGTGAAAACATTCAGCGAAGCAAAAGCAGCTAGAGAATAAAAGCAAAATCACTTCCTTTCTCTCTGAATCCAACATTACCTCTGCTTGAGCTGCTGCCATGGGGTGCAGGGCCAGGTGGCCCTGTCCAGCTGCAGGTACAGCCACATGCTGCAAGGCAATGCTACAAAGGTGATTTTATAGTCTCAGCAGTTCCATAAATCAGGCTTGAAGGAGACTCCTTGATAAACTGTTGTGACTAAAATGTAATTAAACTGACTTTTCAGCCCAGCCTTTCATACCTTTCACCACATTTAAATACCTGTAATACCCTCTAGGGAACACTGCTGTATGTGAGCACATACATAAAACATGACAGAATGCATTAATGATGATCACTGTGTTCCTCCCTCTTCAGGTGCCAAAGCTGCACCAGCTCCAATTCCAGATAACCCATGGCATGGATTGTGATGTGTTCAACTAAATACTCAAAAACCCCAACAGCTATGAGTTAATTACATGGAGTCTTTATTTGCAACAAATTAGATACATTTGCTAAAAAAAGAGGTGGATTGCAGCATGTAAATTAGTTTATAAACTTGTTTTTAAAGACTTATTGCAGTGAAGAAAGCATACTTTTTAGGGTTTCCAGTATTCTGTAGTATTCTGTATTGCCTTACAGGAAAGCACTTTGCATTGCTTTTGGAAATCAAAGTTCTCCATTTGTCTAGGAATCAACAAAGTGACTTCTGATTACAATATTCTGTACAGAATATTCTCCCCATGCAATTATTCCAACTTCCATAGCTAGAGCCAGGATATATGCTAGCTGAATTGTAGTGAAATTTCAAAATGGAAATAGCTGTTTCACCTTTAGTTTCTGTCAGTGACAATTATATCAGCCTCATTTACAGACTTTTCATTATATAAAACTATATAATGGAAACTATAAAACTATATAACATTATATAAAACTTTATAACAGATATAACAGAAACCCAAGCTGTGACTGCAAACCAGAATGTGTCTGCTCTCCTATTGCTCCTGGCTCTGAAGAGCTAAGAAAATAAAGTGTGGGAAATGGGAGAAAATATGACACCAAGGTAACAGGATATGATCCAAAAGTTGCTAAAATTCAGCAGTAGGCTGCTGATTTCACATATTTTGAGATTTTCTTCTGTAAAATTGTCCCCCATTCATATTGTCCAGGAGGTAACAGAAATTACTAAATTTATTGATTTTTAAATACCCTCTCAAATTAAAGGGTTATACAGACACCAGTTTCTCTGTAATAAGGAAGCATTACCTAGGAGCAAAGTGAAAATTCTCAGAATTGTACTTTTCAATCACACATTACTTCATTAGCTCTGCTCTTCTCCCATATTCCTCATAGGTCTCATTTTCAAAAAGAAAAACATGTCAACAGCTTCCTTGTTATTTAGGATGACAACAAACTGAGACCTGTTCTGGGACACTGCAGTCAGAAATCTGTAGTTCTGCTTGGGGAAACTTTAGTAAACTGTTTACATTTATCGAACATAGAAAAATATCTTTTGACACAGCCTACTTCTGCTTAGCAAGCAGATCCAGCAGCTCCTTCTCTATGCCATGGCTGCCCAGTTCAGTTAAGCTGTAGTATCTGTGCACCACCTTCTCCTCTGTCACAACCACCACTCGGAGCCCGTGTGTGTCCTGTCCCAGCTGACATCCTATAGCAGATGACACCACCATTTCCAGGCCTTTGTAGGACCCTCCAGCATTTCTGTGGTAATGCCCAGAAAATACAGCTCTAATGCCTGTTAAAAAAAACAAAAACAAAAACCAGAGTATGTATTTAGTTAGCACCTTACAGATTTACCTTCCTTCTTTAATGGCTCATTAAACATAAAGTTAAAACTAAAACATTTATCCAAACTTGCATTTTAAACAAGTAATTAGTAAACAGTAGTAAGTATTTCCAATAGTAATAAATAATTAATCAAAGTTTATTGTGCTCCACCAGCTGTGTTTAGGGTTACTAGACTCTGAGTTCTTTATGCCACTGCAAGGTGTGTTTGTTGTCTCCTTTGCCTAGAAAGAAGGGACACTCCAGAAGCAGCTGATTAAAATGAAACACCTGCCTAGAGAATGATGGCTGAAAGGCTGAAAGGTGAAGAGAGAGGAGCTGTATTTGTCAATTAGCAGGAAGAAAAATTCCTAAGGAGAGCTCAAACCTGTACACCCAAGGCCAGTGACCTTAAAAAAACAAAAGGGGCAAGACAAACAGAAAACATACATGAGAAGGTAAGTAGTAGTCATTTCACAAGACACTAAAGGTATCACAGGTGGAACAGAGCCAGGTACATCAAAGAAATCTAATAAAGCAGAAGTTTTAAGAGGAGGGGAAGAAAGAGGAACAGCTAGGAAAGGAAAGGTTGACACCTGCGAGAGTCAGGCTTGGAATGACATGAATTAACATTTATCATGTATGGGGACAAACAAGGCAGGTTGACTCTGATTCCTTCTCTATTTTTAATGACTTAAGGCTGTTCTGTTTCCCTTTTTTTTTTTTTTTTTTTTTTTTTTAAGAAAAAACAGATTACTTATATTTTGGACTTTATTGGAGTAAAAAGTATGGAGTTTTTACAGAAATTTTGAAACAATTTGAAATTAAATGAATTGTGTCATCTTCACCTCCAAACCAGTAATTCCTACCTTTTGTTTCTGCTGTCTTGCAAACATAAACAAATGGGTAGAAGCTATACTTGTTACTCTGAATGGCCTTTTTGATTGTCTTTACAAGTCAGATTCATGCTGCCAAATAATCTTCCCCTCTCCATATTTGATAAATTTTAACAAAATGCTTTTATTACTACAAAATGATGAGATCTCCTTGAGTCTGAGTAAAAAAGAAAGTCATCTTGTTGCTAAGTACTTTCCTGTCAAAGTTTGCAAACCCCTCACAAGAGCGTTGAGAATGCAGCTTCCTCCCCGGGAGAGAACGTTCTGCCCTAGCCAAAGCTTTTCATTCACAGCTTATTCCACCCTCCTTTGCCACTGAGCCTTTCCAAGCTCTGCCCATAGGTGCAGCTGAGCACCACACTGAACAGCATTCAGAGTTTGGTAAAAAAAAAAAATCATCCGTTTTCTTGCTAAATTAAGGTAGTGTATGTTTTATTTTGATGGAAATGTGGAGTTAGTATAAATAGCTAATTTTACAAACAGGATTTGGGATTGTGTTTTGGTATGCTTGGTCTAATGTCCTTAGACCCTTGGTCCAGACTCTTACAGCTTCCTGAAGCTGCATCTAACACTACTTTATACTATTGTGAAACAGCAAAATTACTGGATCAGACGACTAAAAATACTGGAAATTTTGTTGTCAGGCCAGAGAGGGGAATTTGTGAGACATTACAACCTTAAATGACATTTAAAAAATAAAAAGCTAGCAGCAACTGATTTTGCCTTCAGATAGCAGAAATCCTGGAAAATAGCAGAGACAATTTAAAGCCAGAGAGCTGTAATGAGGAACATGCTACAACTTCACATGGAAATCATTATTTCTCTAGCCAGAAAAAACCTTCTGCATTTTCTACTGCAGTAGATTTAGACCTCTTTCACAGAGATAAAATGAAAAGGGAAGTAGGTGAACCCATCTTAAGACAGCTGGCTAACATCAATCCTTTGCTTTTGTAGGAGTGAGTGATCTGAAGACTGATATAAAATATATAAACTTGGCTCAAAGTGTAGTTAAAAATTAAGCAGCTTGGAAAGCAAAATATAAATTATTCTGCTGTGTGTCTGGTAAGAGCTACATGGGCTTTCATATTTCAAATGAAATATGAAGGTGGAAAAGGTGGAAAACAGAGAATGAAGCCACCTTGTCACTGAGCAATGGTACAAGGGCCTTGTCTGCTCCAACTTGTCTATTCCCCTGTTTCAGAGCATCAGGGCTGATTATCCTGCAGTGCAACCACTCTGGCTGCTGTACCAGGTACACTTGTGAGTAAAACTGCAGGACAGCTTTGGGAGCTTGCTTTGACTCAGCTGCAGAAACCCAGTAAAACTGGTGAAGTGTTTTTACATCTTGGGAGAAACCCAGCCAGAGTCCTTCAAAAGTCAGTGGTGGAATACAAAAGTCAGTGATGCTGCTACTGTAACAAGGTAACAAGGCCTTTTCTGTATTTTCCACTTTTTCTGTTGGTAAGCAGAACTACCTTAGTCTTTGAAAAAATTAAGAACAAGTAAGAATCATAAACCCATATGACACACTTTTAGTAAAATAAATAGGCACTTTGGAAGGGAATTAAGTTCCCTCTTTTTAAATGGAAGAATCTGTGTCCTAAAGTAGCATCTTCTCACCATCCAGAGAATTTGAAATTTTGATTTAAAAGAGGAAAAGAAGCCAAAACTTTGTGTCATTATATATGTAAACCAATCCCTGACTAAGTGTAATTAGAAGGACAGAGGATACTAAAGTTATTAAGGAACTGTAGTTATGCTAAAGAAAAAAGGTTCCACTTGTCTCATAATTAAAGGAAAGATTTTGAGAAACCCATCCTAGAGAGAGACACACATCAGTTAAAAATTTTGGCCAGACTTCAATTTTCAGATACCCTTTAGTGCTCGTATTAACTCCTGCTATTGCTGGGTTACAGGATGTTACACCGTGAACAAGGACACAAACAGGGCACTGCTGGGTACTGATGGAGGTTCACTGATGGGGTTTTTCTGCAGGAGCACTGTTCTGTTCACTCAGCTGTACTGCACCCACCCTGTGAGCCAGCACAGGGAGGAAAGCTGAAGCAGTCCCTGCAATAACAGCAAGATGACAAGCAGGCAATTTACTTTGCTCTTGCTTTTGATCTTTAACATAAAACGAATCTTAGATATGTTTGCACTCAAATTTAATTTATTAATTTCAGATGTTTTTCTGAAGTAATAATGTCAAGTTGCTAGCAACAGACACCCCCACCCCTTCCCCCCAACTCTCCCCCATCTCTGTGAAGAAAGAACAGTGTCCTGGCAGACCTTGTTTTTACAGCTGACTTTGATGTATCCCACAGTCAGTTAAATGCATCCAGCTATACACTAAAATATACAGTCCCTTCCCACTACAACAGAAAAAGAAAGGTAGAGCACTGCTTTGTTTTTTATCCCTGGGTTCTTAAACGCCAGAAGAAGCATTGATATAAAAGCTGTAGGAAATACTAAAAATCTCCTGTGTAAATAAATGTCCAAAGAACAGCACCTTCACAAGCATTCATTATTTCAATTTTTATGAAATAAATAGACAGTTATTTGAATTTAAATGTGACTGGAGATTTTACAGTATCCATTTACTAAAAAAAAGCTGGATCCATTACTACAAGACACTATTCATACCAAATGGATTATTAATTAACAACAACAAAAAAAAAAGGATTAAAATCAGAATAAAGTAAAAAACTGTGAAGACAGTTACACTAAAAGAAAGCAAAACAATCCACATATCCTGTCTCTGTGATCAGCACCATCATCTGATGTCGGACTGCAGAACAACATAACACAGATTACAGAGTTTCTGCTAAGGAAAAAAGATCTGAATTGCCAAATCAATTTTTGATCAGGACAGGACTGGAAGCCAGATACAGGGCAGGCTCCACCCAGTGCTGGGTACCAGGTCCTGTTCTGTCTGAAGTTTACTTTGGTCAAGAAAACACCTAAACCCACAGAGCTTCATGCCTGCTACCAGACATGACTTTTATGAATCAGTCAAGATACGAAAAAAGGCTGTGTCTTAGTAAAAAATGTTTAGATACAGGAATTGCTTCTGATTTTAGTAAATCAAAGCTGTTCTCCTGCCACACAATTCACCATCACTTTCTGATCAAGCACAAAATATATTTTTCAGTTCTGATCTAAAAAGCTAAGTCTGAAAGACAACAAGATTTTCCTTTTCCAAAAACCTGATAACTCTTTTTCCCTTCAGAATAATGCATCCCTACTAAAGAATGAAATACCTATTTTGGTACAAGTTTTTTTGAGCCCAGAGCAGCCTACTTAGCAAAGCTAATTCATGATGTAACAACAAACCCAAACAAGGATTGTTAAAGAGTCATGTGATGAGATATAATATTTAAATATGTTGATAAGCCTTAGACTTTTCATCAGCTCAACCATGAAACAAGCATATAAACACTGTTTTTTTGCCAATTCACAGGCTGCATTATGGCCCTTGGGGCTGTAAGGCCACACAGTGGTTGTGGCAAGGCAAGAGGGGAGTGCTGGGGAGGGGGAATTACCAGTCATGCAGTTTAGCATGCTGCCTTTGATCCTACCTGTTCCATAGGCAGAATCTTTGCAGCACAACTCTATCTTAATAAAATTTCAAACTAAGTTCGTATTTTAATTTGGATACCTTTTTCCAAGTCAAAACCACATTATGAACACTTGATTAATGGTTTCTACTGCAGACATTTTTCAAAAGGAAATTCAAAAGCACCTCTGAAGACTTCCCTCTTTTTCCTTTTCTGTGTTTGCTTTCTGAAGCCAGCTCTCCAAACAAGTAGGAGAGTTTCACCAAGTTCTTGCTGATTTGCATCTTCCTCATTTTATCAGCTTTGGGAAGTTGGACAATTTTACCAGCATTTCCCATCTTCACTTTTCCTGTTGGTTCTCTCTCGAGGCCTTGTGACCCACACCAGCACAATGTATTAAAAGGTGCTTTTCTTACAGAGAGGTTGTAACAGGTACTGTTCCACTGCCTCACTGGCCTAACAGGGAAAGGTGTCTACACAAGTGTCTGAGGTCTGCTCTGCACAGAAAAAGATCAGGAGGCTCCAAGGGATTCAAGCAGGCTCAGAAGCAGCTGCCTGTGTACAACCATCACATCCTCACAGGCTGCAGCAGCTCTGATTTTATAGAGATTATTCTCTGTAACTGTGGCCATCTTACAGCACTTTGAGCTCCCAAGCAACCCAAAGCAAAGGGATGTGCTGAAAGAAACCAAATCCTAACTGAAATAGTCATCACCTTTTTGAACCCTGGAGATAGTGAAGAAAACTATAAGAAAACTTTAGCTATCCCAGTATTGTTTGCACACTGTTGGTTTTATTCCTGACAAGAACCAGGTGAGAAAATACTTCGTTACACAAAAGGAAACTACAATTGAGTATTGTGCAGGAGGCAGTTTGTCTGTTAGCAGGAGAAGCTGAGATTATTTTACAGAATTTTGAAAGTGCAGCACACTCCTTCTACAAATTATCATTTATCACTCAGAAGAACCCTTCTGTGGCACCAGGGAAAAGGGTCAGCATGATTTTGATGCAATTGCACTGTGAGAGAACAAAGGCATTTAGCTGTGCCTCATGGACAATTCCCCTGAGTGATAACATCCCTGTGGCAGCTCATTGTGCAGCTGCAGTCCTGTAATACCCAGACTCCCAAGTTCCCTTAACTTGGGACTCTACTGCTGTCTTCTGTAGCTTAGAAAAATATAAGGACATGGAAGACTGGGCATGTTTTCAACTCCATCTGGGCAAGAAAGACAAGGGACTCTGGCCTTCCTTCTCCATTGGCCCAACAAATAGCCATATCTTTTCTAGTCAGTGTTCTGACCAGCCTTTCTATTTCAGGAATAGTTAAATCATGTTAGTGTCTCAATTTTAAACAAGAAATGCTAGCCAAATAATCTCTTTGCTTTATTAAACAAACAGGTGTATTCTGTAACCATGCAACAGTAAAATTTTGTGAAACAGGTAACACCCCTTTTTTTAACTTGAAAAATTTACTGTTTTCTAGTTTAAATCAAGAAATACAGACTGAGCCTCAGTCTCTAGGGAAACTGAGTTGCAGTGACAAAGGATGGGGAACAATGCACCCAGGTTTACCTTGAAAACCCCAAAGAAACATGTACCTGGAAAACAGTTTTTCTCACATAATCAGATAATATTGGGTTGTAATTCAGATTTTAACTAGTTTAAATTCCAGGGGTGTCTGACTCCAATTTCTGTAATTACACTCACTTCTATGGCTTGATTCCAAAACCCCCTGAATTCAGAAGCAGCTGTTTTCCAATTCTGCTTCCAAAGGTACAAACCCTATTTTTGAGGCAGGTTTGCTGTGTTCAAAATGTGACTGACCTCGCTTCAGCTGGAAATCAAACTGCTCAACCCAGCACTATGGACAGAGTAAAAATATAAGAAAAAAAATCACCAACATAAAAATAAACCAAAGAAAATCAAGCAGATTTTCCAAATTAGGAGGAGAATGCCTGGAATAATCAGCATAGGCAATCAGTAGCATGCTTTATTTAGACTGAGCCTTCAATTAAATAAATGCTTTTCTCAGCAAAAGCAAATGAGACTGTAAAAGAAGGAGAAGGCTAAATTAGTGCAATATGAATGACATAATAAATATGTAATGGGTACAGTACAGACTTTGCCTCTCTTCCCATGCTCTCTGTAGAGAATTTGGGGAAAAAAAAGTAGTTTTGACTGAACTATGAAATTTATCACATGGTTCAGATTGTCACCTTTTAAGTGCTGATTAATGAACTAATTTTTACAGTAACTGCAGACATGAATCAATGTTCCCAGCATTTCATGTACAGGTTGGTGGCTCTGGACCCACACTGCAGATGAAGTTCAAAGCAAACAAATGGAGGCAGTTCTTCAGAATGCTGTGAAACATGAAATTCCCTCCTGCAGACCATTGTTAAAGCTGGCAGTTTTCACAAATCAACTGAACAAATCTAGAGAGGAATTACTAAATAGCATTATGTTGGTAACATTACTATGACACAGTAAGTCCTTGAAAGAAAAAGATCTTGGAGGTGGGAAGAGGCCTGGAAAAAAATAGCATTATACACTTTTCTATCCTGTGCCCTTCACAAGAGTTTGGGGAGTAGGAGCAGTAGGAGACTGGGCTATTGAGATCCTCATTCTGGTTGCACTACTCTGCTTTTCAGTTACCTCTTCAAGTTCAATGATAAAATTAGATTTTATATAGAGTTATGTTTATCCAAAAATCCCTGGGTCATCACACAAATCTGTTTTTCAGTCAAGGACTGAAGAAAGAGGACAGACTAGGGAAAGCTGATCCTGGATACATTTGTCCCCAAAAGCGCAGGAGATAGGGAGGAACACGAGTAGAGCTCGTGGGAGCAAAAAGGTGGAGAAGCAGTTCTGTAAAGGCATTACATTGTATTGGAGGATCTGAATGCTATCAACACTCTTGTACCCTGTCCTAGTTTTCAAAGAGAGGAGAACCAAGTAAGTATCCAGGCACAGGGAGATGCTACTCTGAGATGTACCCCCACACAGGTAAGAGTACATAGGTATTTTGTAAAAGGCAGTGTTTCTGGCAAATACAACCATTTAAGTCATAAGGATAAATTGATCTTGAACATTTTCCCTGGAGTATCAGACACAAACTGGATTTTCTTGCTTCCTTTCACTTGCAGAGTACAGCTGCTGTCTGAAGTGCTGAACAATGTGGTCGGTTCAAGAGTAATACCTGTTCACTCCACAATTTTGCACTCCAAAATGATGTTCTTTCAGCTTCCCTACAAGAGCCACATTAACCATGGGCATTTTTTGCTGCACCTTTTTTTTTTCCCTGTGCACGTGGTGTATCTCATCTTTTCAAGACTCCAGTGCTACACAAGGAATAATAATATTTAGCAGTCATTGAAAACAAAATCTCTTCAGTGGAATAGAATTGATTTTATCTCATTGCAATTTCAGAGTGCTCCCATTGCCTCATCTGCCAAGCAGGTGTTACAGCAGCAAACAAAGATGTGAAAGCATCAGTCACAGCACTGTTAACTGCTCAGTGCTCAGGCAGCTCTCAGACTCTGTTATCAAAAAAAAAGCAAAACCCAATAATTTCCCAACAGAGCACCAATGGAAGGAAACAGTCCCACTGGTAAGTATTGGGGATCAACATCCTCCCTTTCATAAGCTCTTTGGTCAGCCCTCAGTGGCATATAGAATTATTTTGTGTAGCTCTTTTGAAGCTCTCTCTTGTCCTTCCTCCTCAGAAGAGCTGTATGAATAGAAGAGAACTGAGTAATTAGAATTTACATTGCACAGCTCTATAAGCATCTCATTAAAAATATCCCATGCACTCTTGTTTGCAAACATCCTGCAAACGTGCAGGAAACCTCTGCCTTAAATTTGCTTTCTACCCTAAAGAATCAGGAGTTTGGTGTGGCTAGTGGTCAGCTGGTCTGTGTAAGTAGGAGACTAAATATTATTTTGAAAAGTATATTTATGTTGAGGATTTCTTTCTATAAGACAATACTAAATATAACTATATAGAAAAGGATTTTAGTGTCACTTGTTTTTCCTACATAATCAGAGGACAAACAACAGGCACAGCCAGAGGGTGATTCCAGATCACCTAATTAGAGCACTGGTCTAAATAAGCCTTTAGAGGTCCTGTCTCTAGAAGGTCCTTCAAGTTCATTTTTGTGAATGCCTACTTTTTTCCATTTGAAAGTGATGCTTTCTTACAGAGATGACACAAACCCCAAACAGTCCTGGATTGCTGTGTGCTCTAAGGATCAAGAAGAAGCTTTAGTCCAGTGGATAATTTTTTTTTTTTCTGAGAAAAAATATTACTTAATATCCTTACAGACTATATGTACTTTGTATTTGCTTCTGAGTTTCTGAAAAAACAATTCAAAAAATCTATGTATGTGTATGTCCATGCAAGGGTTGCACTACCATACCTGGGGAACTGTTCTTACATAGACTATAGCACATGTGGTCACTCTACCTGGGCCATAAGTGCATGTTGCAATCTTGAAAGAAGTTGATCTAAATCACTGAAGTTGAGAATATTTAAATTATCTTAAATACTGACACGTAAGCACTGAGATTACTCACTCAATACATGGGCTTTGCCAAAATCGAGGTCTCAATGGCAGGAAGATGAAAATATTACTCCCCTGTCAACTATGATTACACAACAAAGAAAATAATGAAACATAGCATATGTTGTCTGGTAAATTTTAGAAACGACAGCTTTCAACACTCCATGCTTTAATTCTGTGCTCAAATATATCTTATCTGTGGATGTTCTGAGAGCTTCTTCTTCTTTTAACACTGCTCTCCTGTCACAACATTTCTAAGAGGAGAATACAGAATATCACACTCTTTTAATGAGTAAAGGTGTTAGAAGTTACAGTACCTCCAGTCACAAATATAATGAAAAAATACACCATTTAATGAAGATAGGTTGATATTTTTGCCCCTATGTGCATATTAAGTACTTTTAACCACATCTGAAAAAATCACTTTTAAGACACTGGGATGAATTTAAAACTTTTTAATTAAAAGAAGCTGAAGACTGTAGGGAATTTCCTTCTGTATATTTCTATCTATGGTCTAGTTTTTTTCTCTAAGATGCATCATCTCTCAGCTACATAGGCCACATATTCTTAATCTAACTCTGAAACAAGATCTCTTTTCAACCCTGTTGGTGAAAAACCATCTATTAATTTAGGTTTTATTCAACAGAGCTCCCAAATAATGTTTAAACATTTCTTTAAGTGCTTTAGTTGATTTGTGCCATAAAGAAACATTTACTACTATATTTTATTACCTAATATAAGTAATGCTCAGTGTGCCAGTGATGGTTCTAAGGACAGAAAGTCTTTAAAAGCTTGTATATAGCTCACCAAAAATACGCATACTTTTCAGGTCATAGGAAAAAAAAAAATTTAATGTCCTAAGAAAATTTTACTGGAATGAGATGTGTAAGAAAAAGTAGGTCTTCTATTACATAAATTGCCTGATTTGAAAACTTAATTTGCTGCTTATGTTTATCAAAGACACATGACTTGCAGACCAGATTTTTGGCTAGACCATTACTACTTCTTTATTTTCCCTACAATGCTATGAGGAAACCTATTTATATCAGCACTGTAAAATCCTTAAAAGCTGAATATGCATTTCACACAGCAGAGTTGAGTGACTCCAGCAGATCTTACAGATGAGAACGTCAGGTCAGCTCTTTCACAGTTCTTGCACATGGGTTTTTTCTGTACTTAATGTCTGCATGTAGAAGAGACAGAGCTTTGACAACTTTGGCTTAACTTGCAGAAGTTATATCAATACACCTGCAGAAAGGTATCTCTCCGTAAATGCTAAACTCTGTTCTCAACTGAGCTGGTTTTCACTGTGACCAAAATCACATTTTCAAGGACAACAGTTCTTATAATGCATTAAAAAAAAACATGGTCTAGCAGGATTTCTTACACATGCAGCTTACAAGTATGGTTTAACTTTGCACAGTAGTAATACATATTTACAAGTGCCAGATTTTCAATTATAAATATTTATCATAAGGACATGATTTTATCTTTAATTAGCCCAACTGTTAAGGACACTTCTAATGTGAGAAATGTAATTCAGTATTTCATACCAGATGTAGCCTCTACAGCTAGTCTTTTATCTCTGCTTGTAATGAGCAGATACTCACACCAAAACCATTATGTAACACAGGAGTGATTAGAAGATAATAACGACAGAAGATCTGGGCTTTGGAATGAAAATAAGAATTTTCTGAAGTTGCATACCTCAGTTTAAAGCACCTGTTACCATATGACCAATACAACCATATTTTAAGTATCTGACCATTTCCTACACAATCCATATGAATTTCTTTGTTCTCATGAAGACCTGAATGACTAGATTATCTTTCCCTTCCTGTACCTCTCTAACCTGCTGAGTTATGGCTCCATGTTTGACACTTCTAGAAAAAGTATAAACATGAGAACTGGGGCAATTCCATATCTGATCCTGTGTTACAAACAACTGAAATATGATGCCCATCTAATAATTCCAAACACCCTAAACCATGCATGTTACTGACATAATAACACAACAAACATGGTTACAAGCACTGAAACAGCAAGAGGCAGAAGGAAGGGAGGAAGGAAGGACTGCTGACAAGTTGGGGAAGAAGAACAGTGGCAGTCTGGTGATCTAAAAAGGCACACCAACTTTTTTTTCAATAATAAATAGTTACACCTAATTTCTAAATTTAAAAAAGCAAAGTATGTTGGGATTTCATTGGTAATATTCTGTGTTTTAATCCTCCAAGAATGTATTAAATGAACTGGGGGAAAACCAGTTTCTTGTCTAATGATGTCCTAAACTTGATTATTCTTTGGCAAAGCAGAGGTTCAGAAAGCTAGTGGTGTCCTTGCATTTCTGTGCCTTTACACCATCATACCAACAGCCTCTCTGCAACCCACTGAGACCTCTGTGGTCTCACAAAAGCTGCTCTTAAACAGCACAATAAAATGGAAACAGAATGCACCGGTTACTAAGGTAACTCTGAGCCAACTTTTGATTCAGCTCATTTTTCTCAGCAGTCTGAGTTACTGAGCTGCCTGTTCTCTGTATTCATTTCATTAGCAAAATGTTTGATTATTGGCTTGCAAATGTTACCTATTGACTCAGTGTATAGTAAGGAGCATGCCAAAGATCAGTGTTTAAACACACTCATTAAGGAACCAAACAACTTATTAGAGATGGGAATGAGGGACACAGGGAGAAATGATGGAGGGAGAAGAAAGGTGGCACAGAAAGAAGTTTGGGAATTTCTTCTCTAGAGTTGTATTGCTCACTTCCCATTCCATTCCTTTCCCCAATTATTTGAAGTTTTCCCAATTTCTGGTTAAGCCTCTGGACATCCTATTATGAAACACCACAATGTAACAACAATGTTACAATGATAATGTTTATTTTACCTCTTGATGAATTATGTTCCCAGTACTGAGTGTTGTCAAATGCTAGTAAATGAAGTGGATGACAGAAAATCCTAGAACAGAACTATTGAACTAGGATGTAATGCAGTCCATGGTACACAGGCAGTCACAGCTGCCCAACTCTCCAAGAGCAACACTTCCCACTATATGAACACTGACACAAAAATGAAAAAAGGTATGAGGTGTTCTCAGCATGTCTCCTTATGGGGAAAAACCCCCACCTGTAAATCTTGAATCTGCAAATGAATCAGTGCCCTGGAGGGCCCTCAGATAGCTGTGAATTTTGGCCCCACTGATTGGAAACAGTAGGAGATTGAGAGCTTGGAAATTAGGCTGAGTTGGATGAGGCCAGGCTTAACAATTAGATGGTAAATTAGGAAAAAGATCATAAAAAATTTGCATTGTTCAGTAATCCAAATAATGTGCTCTCTTATAGATACAGAGAAAATGACATTCTGATGCAGTGATGGCAGGATGGCAGGAAATTTTGAGGGACTGGCACACTCCAGGAACATGAAGGCAATTACCAGAAAACAATGGGAACAGCATGAAGGAGTAGCTGTGTACTGTGTCTGTCTCCATGGGACTCAAGTGGCATCACACAAAGCTGAGGGATTTGGTACAATTACTCATTTAGCACATGCTCCAACTGCCCTTCATCCCAGACATGGCCCCTATTAGAAATGGATGTGCAAAGGATTGATTTTAGCAGAGCAAGACTTGTTTTAACACTGAATAAATCTGGGGTGCATTACACTCGTGGTTTAAAATTGGCTCAGTGTGGGAGAAAGCAACCTCCAAGGTAATTTTGAATTCTGTTTCCATGTTTTATGTAAAACATAAATTCTGTATTTTTCTCCTATGACAATACCTGGTCTTCCCCTCCGTAGGCAGGAAAAACTCAGGTTATCTTACATTTGCCAGTACTTGAAAAATGGAAACCTTGCTATTTATGTTAAGGAATTTTTCATATTTAGCTTTTTACTTTTCACTCAAAGTTTTAAATTTTGTTTGATACTTTTTACAGGTGAGTAGATTCAGTTGATAATTTTGATCTACGGGAAACAATGAGGCTTATAAGTTGTATTCAAAAAATCCTTGAAAGCAGTACCATTTAACTTAAATATATTTTGTCTGGCAACAGAGCCATTAACAATTTGAGACAAAAATTCAAGAGTAGGAAAGTTTGAGAAAATACCTGCTTTATGAAACTTTTCCATTATCTCCTGACGAACTGATTTCTCCAAGTTGAAGTAATCGTCATCTTCATCAGGTTTGCTCAGAAACAGAGGGATGTGCTGAAATACAATTATATGCTTGCATTTCTGGCTTGCAGCAGCAGCCAGCTGCTCATCGAGCCAAGCATCCTGGGCTTGCCTTAACTCAGGGCACTTGGAAGAATCAAAGTATAGCTGAGAATTCAACACAAGAAAGAAAACACCTCCAACCCAAAAGCTGAAGTAGTCATCTCCCCAGTTCTGGCAATAATCATCTATGGTTTCTCTTGATGGAGTATTGCCAATATCATGATTCCCACTGACGAATACCAGTGGTATGTCCTGGTCAGTGTTTTTCAGAACATTCTTTAAATCTTGCTCTTGGTTTTTTTTCCATCGGGTTCCTAAAGGAAAAAAAATACAAAACATTTCAGTGTTTATGGGTTTTTTTTCTCACCTTCATTGTTAGTTTTTGTTTATGGAACTGTATAGTTCCATAGTAAGAAAACATTGTGTATTAGATGTGATCATGAAAACATCTCCAGTTTATCCAGGTACATCCAGCCAGCCCAGTCCCTCCCTACCAAGGCCTCAGCCATTTTCAGGAGCTGGCCTGAAGGCGGGCTCTGGGCAGGACCCAGCAGAGAGCAGGAGGTGATGCCATGGTCACTGCTTTGCCCCAGGAGCTTCAGCTGATTCTTTTCATCCAGAATCATGATGTAGTGAAAAAATGCAGCAGCCTTGGATGGTGTAATGGCACAAGGGTAAAAACCAGGCCAACTTCTGGCTTATATTTTATGGCTGTGGAACAAAATTAAGCTTTGTTGGTTGTTTTTTTTTTTTTATTAAAAGAATTATTTTAACAGCAAAAATTTAATCAGTGTCTTGGGATGACTTATTTATATGATGAGTCTCTTTTAATAATAAGAATGCCATTAAATTAAAAAAAAATACTTGTGTACTTTGCTACTTTTCTCTGCAATTTATTTATATTCATATGAATATCCATACAAGTACTCTTCTTGATGTCAGGAGTTTGTCCCAGCCTACAAAGATTTATTGTATTGACTGACTGATTTACAATCACTGAAAAAACTTAGAAAGGAAGTTTTAAAAGGTTGTTTATTTTCTTCTAATGATTACAGAGGTTTTCCTATGTTTGCTAAAGACTAATCTTTCACTAGAGGACATTGATATGATAATTATTAATTAATTAAATGAACATGTATAAATTGGTTTTGTCCTGCAATACATAACACACATCTAGCATGGGCCCATTTCACAAATAATCATTCAACTTTTTAGCCAAAAGCTGTAAAAGGATTTTAAAAGAACTCTGAATTCAGATTTCTAACATACACTTGCACACAGGTCTGTGCTAATCAATCATCACACTTTTAAATTGTTTTACTTTCCTAACTACACACATAGCTTATACACAGAAATGCAGAAATGGGCTCCTGTATTGCAGCTATGAAATAAAATGGGTTTTTACCATTTCTTCAAAATACTCATGATGAATATGTTGACAAACACTAACCCTTATTAAAAATATTTAGTTTTACATACCCTACAGTTACAGGCGTTAGTACCACCTTATTGCTGTTACCAGAATTATACAGCTTTATAAAAATACTGAGAAAAAAAAAAAACATATCAGGTCTAAATTGTGGCTAAATGTAAGGACATTGATATGAGGTGCATTAAGTCAAAATCCACAACTCTCTTGGGTTTAACTGCTGCATAGGGTAGAAAGTTATTGTAGGAAAATCTCTGAGTAACTTGACAAATATTGGGCATATGATACCCAGGGAAGTCTAGAAAGTAGTGGAGAGCAGATCACTTTTTGGGGGTATATCAGTTTACGCTGTTGTTAATCCCAGGAAAAAGAAAAAAAAAAGAGGGCAGATGACATCTATATTACTTGGAGATGCTGAATTTTAAAAAATAAAATCAAAAATTGAAATAAACCTGGCACACTGCTGTCCACAGGGTAAGGAACCTGGCTGAGAGCACTGCTTTTACTGCCACTTTCCATTTTCCTATGGAAAGAGTTGGAAATTTCAAACTCTAAATATGAAAATATATGGGAGAGGCGGGGAGGAGGGCAGGAAAATGCAAAGGGGGAAGGCTCTGTTCAGATCCATGTAAACACATTACACTATGTTAAACTCCATGCTATCACTTTGGGAAATTTAGCTAACAGTTGCAGAGTATAAAGACATTTATGCAAAAGTTACAGAAATAATTTGCAGAATTATGTATACCTCTTCCCAGTGGTGAAATTCAAGCTCTGGAGACTAACAGATTAGATTTGTCGACAGCAGGGCACTGATTCCCTCATTTAATGAAATATTATTTCTATAGCAACAGAGAAACATATTCAGTGTTTATTGCAGAAAACAGATTGTTCAAAATGGAAAATAAGGTCTCTGTCCAAGAGCCTAGGAAATCCTACTAAGGAGAGATTGGTTTGGAACAACTGCATCTTGGCTTGACCATCTCGGCAGAAGGTCAAAACAACTTCAAAAGAAGAGAATCCCACAGAGATAAAAGTGGGGAAAGTGGAGGAATGTCTCAGGACCCCTGGGCACAGTGCTGGGGAGGAAGGGCTCAGATGTCCCGCTGGCCCTGAGCTGCACCACCACAACACACAATGTGCCACAAGGAGCCCTCCTGAGGCACCTCCCCAACTCCACATCTGAGGTAAGGAACAGGGAAAGAAGACAAAGACAGTGGTAAAGAAGGAAGCCACTGGAAAATTAAAGTGGTCCCTGCCACAGCATAAAAAATATCCTTTTAATCTCTCTCAGGCATAGAGCTATAATATCTAATTGTTCCGGTTTTTAATGAAGAACATTTCTGTTTGATGGACATGGATTTCTTTGGCTTAGAGGGAGCTTTGTTGTAGGTGAACAAGAAAATAATATAGTGCCAAAAGGTAATACAAAAAAAAAATATTTGTGAAGTGCCAGGGTAGATGCAACTGAAATAAATTTCTGTGAAGTTTATCCTGGCATCATGTGCAGTGACATTTTTAAATCCTGGGCCATAATTTTCTGTCTTTATGTTAGGTTGTGTAAATAAAGTCTTGCCCTGAGAGAAATGATTTCACAAATTAATAGTCCATAAAGGGCAGCTTGGCTTTTATGAAAAACATGAAAGTGAGAACTGTTGCTGGTGTAGTTGTCTGCAATTTTCCACAGCTTCCCAGTCTATCATTTTTGAAAGCTGAGTGATGTGAACAGGAGCATGAAGGTGCAATGTCACCATGCCTGTTGTTTGCTGTTGTGTATCCCTGTTTGCCTCAACAGCTCCAGTGTTCTGTCCTGCACTGCTTAAAGGAACCAAGACAACCAGCCTTCTTCACACACTGTAAGAACAGATTTCAATACAGTACTTTTACATGACTTTTGCTGGAGCTGTCTTCAGTCAGCAGAATTGCAGATTATTCTGCCAAAGAAAAAATCCTTTAGGTACTAATCCTTAATTACAGTTTTCTTTGGTATTCCACAGAAGGGTGCACCACTCTAAGATTGGGTTGGGTTAAGTGTTTGTAAGGCACCAGCTATTAAAAACAACTTAGTGCATTGTTTCCCCCCAAGCTGTATCTGCAATGCTGATGACAATTTTTGTATAACACAATCCTTCCCATACAGTTACCCCCAACAACACTGTAACTTTTCCTCCAGAAGTATTCCAAATGAAAAATTATCAATTAATTAACAACAGCACCAGTTTTTCTGCTTAAATGAATCAGGAGGGGAAGGGGGGGCTTATGATGGCATTATGAGGTGGTACCCCCAGGCATTCCTGCCTTGGTGTTAGGTGAAGTCTAAGCACTCCCCCCAAGGCAAGAGAAGCCTTTAGCTCACACATCTTCAAAAAATTTAACAATATGCAAAAATGTAGCACAATCATCTCCTGGATTTCTCATTACTTAGTCTCAGTATTTTAATGTATCTTAAGTGTCCCAAACTTGGAGAAACTGCAATCACATTGTTTTTTAATGGAAAGCACAAATTTTCAGTTTGAAGAAGAAAAAAAAGAAAAATCAAGTTTTATGCCAGCAACACTCCTGGAAGGCCCTGATATGACAACTGCAATCTGTTTAACATTTAACCCAAGAGACTGCATACATTGCAGACAAAAATACTATACAAAATATCAAACAGAAATAGGACCTACATTTGATAAAAGCAAAATAGAAAATGTCAAAACACCAGCTATGAAAACAATATTTAGAAAAACACTGGGCCCATTCCTTCTGTAATTTATGATGCTACCAGAAGTATTCTGACATCAAAAGACAACTAATTATTGTTGAAAGCAATAACATGATTGTTAAAAACAACAACAGATAGATCTGTGCATTTTCCTGGGCCTTATGGTGCATCACAATTGCTTAATTCAGAGTCTAACTATTTTGAATCTTGAGACATTTGTCCTGTTTCACGTGCTTTCATGACTGTCTGCAGGTTTCCTACTCCTCCATTTAAAGGACCTCCCCTAGCACTATTCCCTAAATTTCTAGGGGGGAGGGCAGTCCAAGGTTATACTCAAACACACTTTGTTTTAGCTGCACTGGAGGAAATGTAACTGCTACCTCCATCTCTGTGGGAAAACAGCTCCTCCTGTCAGACTAGGACTGCCTTTCATCTCTGCTCTTGCCTTGGATACCTGTTAGCTGTTAGCTCCAGATCAAGAGGGCTACAAGGAAGATCCTACATCATCCCTGTCTGCTGACAGCCCCAGGGACAGCCCCACTGGTGACACTTGGAAGACATCACAGGTCCAAACCCAGTGGTATTCATCCACACCACATTGTACCTGCCAGGCTCCTTCTGCAACTGCATCTGATTGCTATGCATTAACATGAAAATCTGAGCTCCAATCTTGCCATTTTTCAAAACACCAACCCACAGCATCTCTTCAGAGCACTGATGCAGGTGGAGCTCCCTCACCCCAGAGCTCTGACACTGTCCCTCACTGTGCTCCCTTCTTTCCTGCCCTTCCCCACCTCATCAATATGGGTGACTCCTGACTGCCAGGGCCACACTCTTCCCTCTACTCATCTGTTTACAATTGATCATCCCATTAAAGTGATTCTCGTGGGCCGTGAGTGGAACAAAACACTACAGTCTCCACATTCTTTTGTGTCCTAGGATGCTACAAAAATGTGATCATGGACCGGGCACTGCATAGGAAGGAAACCCCTCTGGCCACCCAAATTCAGTCTTACCAGTGCTCTCCATTGGTTCTTGCTTTAAACTTAAAAGCTTTCCCTCTGGTGTCTGCTGTAATGAACTAATGCAACACACTGCATCATTCCAAATTATTACATGCAAGAATAAGCTGATCCATTTTAATAAACCCATTATGGTCATGTTCTGAGATAGGTTTT